CATCAGGAAATTGGTGCTCATCCAATTTTTTATGTCTTTAAGGCAGTTATGGAGTTTAGTTAATTGATTACTTTCTTCTGGCTTCATCGATAAATACAACTGTGTATCATCCACATAACAATGGAAATTTATAGAGTGATTTCTAATGATGTTACCTAAAGGAAGCATATATAGAGTAAATAGGATTGGTCCGAGCACAGAACCTTGCGGAACTCCAAAACAAACTTTGGTACGTAAAGCAGTTTCATGTTAATAATCAGTGTTTCTCCCACGCTGTTTGGCATGTCACAGACGGCTAGCTTGCTCACTTGATCCAAGAGGTTTTTTCCACGTGTCAAATTATCTGCAGAGGTCTCCTCCTCTCCAAAACAAACAGACCCCGTGATTTAAACCAGTAAAAACACTGAATAAGCAGTTTCACATTTAAAAATTAAAGATAGATTAAACATTTTATTGAGAGTGGAGTCAGTTTGCACAGCTAATAAGATATTATTGGCAAATATACAAATGCAATATGAAGATAATTAGTGCATTTACAAAACTGATAAAGAATATTTTCTTTTGGGATTTACATTTAAAAAACACAATAGAAAAAAAAACAAAAAGAGAAAGATAAAGCACACAACCTGGACACCCAAAACAAAATTAAAGAATCATACATTAAATTAAATTGGTAAAAAGCAAAAACACAAATGGCTCTATGTGGAGACAGTGTTTGGTTTGTCTGTTCTGGGCTACTGTAGAAACATGGTGGTGCAACATGGTGATCTATAAATGTCTCATTGTAAGGTACGAAAACACAATTCTTATTTTCAGGTGTTTATACACTAAAGAAACATACTTATTACTTTCCATTTCTGCCAATGTTCCCCTAAATCCTACACACTGGACCATGACTTACATGAACAAGTCACATTATGACAAAAATAAATGTTTATTGAGCTGCATTTCTTGTGTGAAATTACTGATAATGGATAACTTCTATTTCCCTGACAGACTCTGAAATGCTCGCCCAACAACTACCTCACCAACACCTGGTGGAACCCACTGTTCAACTTCATGGAGAGGAACGTCCAAACTTCGATCCCATGCTCCTACAGCTGGCCCATCACCTGGCCTCCCGCCTGCCTTAAGAACCCCTGCAAGAAGTACTCCATGGTACAGAGCACACGAGAGGAGTGACGCCACCTTCAGAGCGCTGTCTGCCAGACAGTAACATAATGATACCAAATGCATAGCTATCAAACAAATGCTTCTGCAAAAATGAGAAATAATCATATTGTCTCTATGTTTGTTCTTTATAGATGTAATTTATTTATGAGATAAAGTCCCACAGAGTCATCAGTGTTTTTGTAACTCGGCTCCTAGTTAACGTCAGACATGAGCGAAGAATTTGTTCCAGCAGGTTTGTTGCAGTATTTGCAAGATTTGATTTTAAATATGCTAGCGTACTCTTTCATACTGTATGTGTTGATGGGGTTTACCTCAATATGATATTATTGTGCTCAAGTCACAAGGTGCCTTAGTGTGTTTAATGTCAGTAGGTGTACCAAAACTGCCATTACAAGTCTTGGTGTTTTGTTGTTGTTGTTGTTTTTTTCTATGAGTATTTTGTTATTATTAATTTTGTATTCATTTTAGTAGCCTTGAGTGTGTATCCAGCTGTAGTCTCAACATTGTACTATTGTATTAAAAATTAAACATACCAAGGTTTCATTGTGTTTTTTGAGATAATGGAATCACCATCATTATGCTGTATACTGCAACTGCATGTTTTGGACACAAAAATCAATCTCTTCAATCTTGCACAATTTCTATTTCTCACAAGTTACAAGAAAAGACAACTAATTCCTACATTACACAAAAATAAAGTCTAGGCCACATGCTTACTTGTGTATTAAAGTGACATTACCCACCATTCATAAGAGTGCTGCAAGGCTGTGTATAACTGTGCATTTGTACAGTGTAGAACTTCCAACTTTTCTTAATAAACTTCACAAACTATTATCAAATGTACCATTAAATCTGCTGCTAAATTTGGATTTCATATTTAATATGATCTCTTCTGTCGTTAAAGTTTAGTGTATCTATGTGATTTAAACAAATGTGCACTTTATTGTAACTGCAGTATAAAGATTAACTCATTTTATAAACTAGTTTTTGCATAAGATAAACAACAAATAATAGTCAGGAAAAAAAGCTATATATCTGGCGGGTGTCATTCATAGAAATAGAATAGATATGGAACAATCTTCAAAAAGATAAAAAATTAGAAACATTTATTATCCATCGATGAATTTAAGGGCATCGTAAAGGATGTGGTGACATAGACATGTGCTTATTTTTCTTAGGAGGCCACTATGTTTAAATAGTTGTTGTTTTGTTGTGTATTTTTGTGTTATATGTTGTATTTGTTGTATTTTAAATGTGTTTAGATTTGCTGCTACCTTGGCCAGGTCTCACTTGTAAAAGAGATTTTCAATTTCAGTGGGACTTCCTGGTTAAATAAAGGTTTAATAAATAAATAAATAAATAAAATGTATGACAGTCCAGTGACCCCGTAGGTCATTAGATAAATACCTTCAAAGTGAAATTACAAAATTAGAAGAAAAAACTGGGAACATTTATATGTTGCTTGTAGTTCTTTGTTATGTCCACCAGATGGCGCCATTACACCAGAACTCGGCACCTGAGAGGTAAAACTCACTCTGTGAACTGTAAACGTTGTTTTTATTTTATTAATTATTAAAACATTTTGGTCTTTACCACATCTCAGGTGGAAATATTATACTTTGATCTCATCTATTATGCCTGGAATCGATTGATTTAAAGAGTCTAATGTCATAGAAAAAGTATAGTAGTCCCCTCTGAGATGTGGTGAAGAACAAAATGTTTTAATAATTAATAACAGATTAGATTTGATTGATTAGATAATAAATAGAGAATAAAAAAAATCGTGCACCTCCACCACAGACTGAGGGTGCCTGAACCCCCTTACTGCTGCTTACTGTTTTGAATTTGACAATTTAACTACTTCTTTCTGTTGGCTTTTTGCAGCTATATTTATGTATTTATTTTTTAATTTACCTCATTAAAGAGCTTTAATGATCAATGTTTGATACACAGACTATATGGCAGGGGTGTCAAACATATGGCTCATGGGCCAGAACCAGCCTGCCAAAGGGTCCAGCTGGCCCACTGGATGGCTGGACTAAGAGGTGCCAGGTTTCAGGAGCAAACTAAACAATAGGTTGCCTACTCCATGTAAAATTCTGCCTCAGAGGCTTGTCCACCCTGACCACAATACAGTTTCCTCATGAACAATAAATATTTACTGTGACCGGATGAACATCTACAGAACGTACTTGTAATTCTTTACACAAAAAAAGGAACATTTTGGAGCTGATGTTTCTCATAGATTATTGTGTGATGGTTTTATTGACCCGGCCCATCTGAGATCAAATTGGGCTGGATGTGGTCCATGAAATAAAATTAGTTTGACACCCCTTGTCTATGGTTTCGAGCTGTACACCCTGCAGCAGGTGGCAGCAGTGTGCATAACGCACTGGTTTTCCAACCAGTAAACATTAAAAGAAGAAGAAGAAAACTTCATAGCGTAGAAGAAGAACACGGAGGCCAACTGGAAATTTAACGAGCAAAAGAAATAACGCCAATATTTGGAAGTATTATCCAACTATGAGGTAAAAGAAAGAGAGAAGAATGAAATATTTATCATGTATTTGTAGGTTAAATATATTTATGCTGATGTGGCCAGCTGTTGCCAACGGTAATTACTAATTAGCGTTAGCTAGCTAGCAAGATGCTAACTGTCGCACAGATGCGGAAGCTAACGTTTCATTTGTTATTATTATATTAGCTGTGTGAAACAAGTAAATGTAACAGTCCAAGTAAGCTAACAACACATTGCTGTTGTCAATTGCTTACTAGCGAAGTTAAGTGACAAGACAAACAGGGTGCAATACACAAATAGCTCGACATTAATCTGTGAGTATGTTTCCTTCTTCGGCAGGTTGTGAACTCATCCGTGTTTGGGACACAATGCAGCACAGTAGCAATATAATTAAGTAGAGTATCATGGTGAGATACTCTGACACTGTCATACTACCTGACAGATGCTAACAGACATGCCGTGGTGCCTAAACACAAAGTGGACATATCATTTGTAACCATCACACAGTGGAAGCCAAACTGCATTTTTATATCAAAGAGTAGTTTCTTGTTAAACAGACTCTAAACGAGCTATTGGTCATCATGGTAGATAACCGCTATGCCACAGCTCTTGTCATTGGCTCAGTGCTTAGTCTGCTGGCCACAGTCTACCTCTCTGTGGCTGTGGGAACTCAGCACTGGTACCAGTACAGCTGCTCACCAGTTAAAAATGAGGGGAGCAACGCCACTGAGCTCAGAGACGACTTCATCAATGGAGAGTTCAATGAGAAGACCTTCAGCCAGACCATGTTCCGTCTGAACGGCACCCTGGGACTGTGGTGGAGGTGCATACAGGTGCCCAGCGAGAGCCGGTCATACTGGTTCAAAGAGCCAGGTATGACCTCCTGTTCAAAATATGACCTCTCCACACAGCTGTCACAGTGTTCCTATTTTGATTTCACATCTTTAATTTCACACTGTTAGGTAGATCTCTCTTTATACACGTTATGAAAGCAAGATTATGCTTGCCATGATTTATTAGAGTTATACAACTATATTAATTGTAGTCAAGGTCACACATTTCCAAGACACCAAATATTCTTGGCTGCATTACATGAAAATGTGATCAAAAATGATTGAGAATATGTGGTGGTGAAAAGGCCTAGAAATACTTGACCCTTAAGGTCAAGACTTCAAATACTTCTCCCCAGAGTGACATCATTCACGGTTGCTCAATTTCAGTAAACATGTTTTGCTTCTAACTTGACCTTAAGGGTCAAGTATTTCTCATTCTCGGAACCCATCGGCTGTATTCGGCGTCTGACATCCGGCAGATGGCGATACAGCCTCTGGGGGCAGACCCCCATTTTTTTTCATTCCGGTTTGATTTGGGCGGAGGAGGCAAATTTCCGTTTCCGACTTCCGTTTATATATAAGTAAATATGCTGAACCATTGTGATGGATTCAGAGTTTGCAGTGACGCCAATTATGTTCTGCCTCGTTAGTTCACTGCACGGACCGTTGAACCTGGCAACAACTGCAGCCAGCTGAAACGTGATTGGTCAACATCACGTGGACTACAGACAGCCTACAACCGGAAACCAGGGCTCTTCCGCTCTTCTTCCGGAGGCAAGATCTCCGGGGTTTGCCTACAGACTCTACATTCACTGAATGTAGTCTGTATATAGAGACTAAGTATTTCTAAGCCTTTTCGCCACCACAAAAACATCCAGAAGTTTTCATTAAAAAAAAAAATGTGGATGCAATAAAAAAAAAATTGGTGTCTTGAATTTTAGTAAAACACTACATCAAGCTGATGTTTTAATACAGAAAAAAATGTTTTGTCAAACTTTAAAAGTTACTTGATGGTTAAAGTTAAAAAGAAGCATTAGCCTAAATCGCAGCATCCCTACCTGTGAGTCCAGTGTTGGTATATATCAATAAAGCACATAGACAACCACTGACAATAAGAGGTATAGCTACCTCAGTATTAAAGAGGAGAAATTACACATTCCTGTTGTTTAATGGTGTACCGTATATCCTCATGATGCCCATCCCTACATCGCACTCTGTTTGTCGGTAAGGGATGACTGCTGTGTTGAATTTTTCGCTCTCTGATTGTGACTTTAGATCCAAAGATGGAGACGCAGTGTGTGAGCTTCACTCTTCCTCAGCAGTTTAGTCCAAAGTACAAATATTCTGGAAACATCAATGGCGAAGAAGATCTGCTCAGAACATGTGAGTCTACCCTGTCTGTTCCCCTTGTGTCTGTAGATTTACATGAGGTTGTGTTTAAGGTTTTTGGTTTTCCTGCTTCCTTTTGAACCTAGTTTCACCAGACATGAAGGCCACTGCCAACGATTGTGAACGTTTTGTAACAATATCATTTACAGATAATTATTTGATAATGCCAGATGGGCTATTTTATGTATGAAATATTTGAAATCAGGAAATACGTAGCAGTAAAAATTACATGGCGTTAACATATCCAATGTCACAGTACTTCCCCAGACAATTTAGAAAATAGAGACTCTCTTGTGAAGTGATGTTTAGCTGAACTATATTCTTTTTCTGCTATAGATACTAGCTTTGGCTATTGACTCATGCTTATCTGCATCAGGAAAATTTGTCAAAGAATTTTTTTTAATTTACTGTCCAACAAATGCCTTTATGCCTCAAATTGTCTGTCAAATTGTGATAATCTTACTGTTTCCATCCCTTTATTGTCTAGAATTTTTTTTTAGTAAACCCTTTTTATTACCCTTTATGCAGACTTGTGGAGGTGCCAGTTTCTCCTGCCCTTGGTGTCTCTGGCTTTGGTGTTCCTCGGTGGCCTTGTTGGGGTCTGTGCCTGCCTGTGCCGCAGCTTCACCCCCACCTTGGGCGTGGGAGTGCTCCATCTACTTGCAGGTGAGTTAAGAGCATGCATATTCCCCCTTTCCTGCCATAAACCCCAGAAAAAATGGACATGACATAAAATCTGAAATGTTAATACCCACAGACTTCAGAAGGGGGGATATGGGTTTAAGTTTCTCTTCCTCTTACTATGCAATTATGTAAACAAGAAAACACAAATGGAGGGCAAGGAGTGGTGGCAAGTACTGTAGCAGCCACCATAATTGATTGTGATAGACAGAGACTCGTCGGTGAAACAAAAATCCTTTCAAATGAACAGTATATGGAGGAGCAGAGAGGCAGAGCTGCTGCCATGCTCTTCTTTAACATAAACAGTAATTGAAAAAGATCAACTGATATTAAAGTACATGTCTGGCTTGTACTAACTTCAACTCAGTGCAGAGTTTGAGCACACCAGTAAGTCAAGGTGTTGTAGCTTGGATGTGCCAGTGAATATAAGGTTTATCTGTTTTGTTTTGTTTATTAAATCAAAACTTTAACAGATAATCAATCAGTAAGAGAGACGACCTTGATACTGAAAAAGAAAACAGTAAAGGCTGTGTTAAGGACTCACCTTACAGTCTGTGTGTGTCTTGTTCTGCTAATAGACACATCCGAGTGATGCTGTCTGAAGTGAAGTGTTAGCAGCCATCCTGAGAGTTCCACCTGGTAACATTATGACAGCTCAACAGGCTGCACTTGCAGCAGTCGTGGTGGCAGATATTTTTAGAAATAAAGTCACCAGAGAGTCTGAAAAGTTGCCAGCAAGAAAGTTGGCAACTCTGAGCACACGGTTGTTATTGAAAGTGGTGTGCTGAATTTATAACACAAGACAAAATGAGAGCATCCCTTTAAAACAGACTGCAGCACAATATTTGTTTTATCTAGATTATCTTGTTTCATAATCGCTGGAAGCCAAATTGTATTTGAAAATACAGTATGATTAATTGCCCAGCCCATCTTGTGACCGTCTTCTCATACATTCCCACCAGTCTGCTTTTACTTTCCTGAACGTAGAAACCTCAAAGTTTTCTTTTGCTTTGATTCATTACCATGTAGCAAACATATAATGTGATAAATCACATCACTTATCCTGTGTTGTTTTCACTATTGTCACCCCTTAAATACTTAGGTGTTGCTACATTATGTGATATACGCAGTTACACTTAAAGGTTAATGTTATATTTCAGAAAGATTTAGTAAATTCTTCTGATGTTAGCAGGGTGGGTTTTTATTTCTGTATTTATTCCTCTGATATTATGCGCTGTATTAACAAAATCCTGATTGTGGTAAATTACTACATTTGTATTTTTACTGAAGATGTGTGTGACTGCAGTTCATGTCCAGTTCAGACCAAAGATTCACAACGAGGCGAGTTGAAACAGACAGCGACTTGCAATGCACTGTTCGGCAGCGTTCTAAAAACCTGCTGGTTCACACCAATGCAACTAGATGAGACGGTGTATCATCTCTATGCAACAACTCTCTGTACTTTCGTTCTGATCTCCAGCTTTTCAGGCTTATTTTGTGGCTGAATACAATTTGTAGCTTCTTAAAATATGAATGAGGATAGTGATAGTGAGATACTGGCTACAACTGCATTTGTAGTAGTGATGAAACTGTGAAAAACAGAAACAAAACAAGCTTCAGAAGGACTGTATTCATGATAAATACGCCACAATAATGTAAATAATTAGTGCCAATTAATTAGCCAACAAGAATATGTGTGTGGGCAGGTGGCATAAGCACATACAGCCAGCAGCAGCAGCGACCCACCGTCCAACACTGGGACACAGTGAGGACAGAAACAGAGGTCTCGGTGAGGATGAAGCACGTGACGCAGCAAGCGAACACGCTGTCTGTGGTCATTTGGAGTTGATCAGCAGACTTCATTGCAAGCTGATTGGCTGTTGAAACAGGTGCTTTACGTGCTAAAACCAGCCGCCTGCGATTTGACCAGCTGAGTTGCAGGTGACATCATCAACCTTCACACCACTGCAGCTTTCCTCTGTAAAGTTCTAAACCGATTTTGTCTCGTTGCAAATCTTTTGTCTGAGCTGGGCTTTAGATTTTATTGGCTTCAGTATTGACCTTCGGTTGTCGTTGTTTAGTTTGGGCTAACGCAACATTTAAATTCCTGCTGTTTCTTTTATCTTACTGTGCAGTGCTTCAGATTTCACTTTAAACCATCTTCCTCCTCTGACTTACCAGGTCTTTGCACTCTGGGAACCGTCTGCTGTTTCCTGGCCGGGGTGGATTTGCTTAAACAGTACTCCCCACCACCAGAAGGGTTGGAGGGCTCGCTGGGCTGGTCCCTCTACCTCGCCCTCATCTCCTTCCCTCTGCAGATGATGGCAGCTGCTTTGTTCCTGTGGGCGGCCAGGAGTCACCGCAAAAACTACACCCGTATGACTGCTTACAGGGTAGCTTAAAGAGAGACTACCACAACAACAACTTACCTTAAAACAGCCTACTTGTCTCTGCATTTTCTAAAAAAAATGGTTTCTAGTTAGAAAAGGACTGTACTAAAACAACAACACTATCACAAACCTTGGCAGGAATACACCGATTTGCAGCTAATCATCATAAGTGCTCATAAAAAGGAGTGATATACCTCTGAGTTGTTATATCACCTTTGTTTTCAAGCATCTTTAACTTGTATCTTATCGAAAGCATGTTCTTTGATGTTTTTTTAACACCCAGATGTTGTGGATCATTTGTTATTTCTGATGTTAACTGTTGGTGTGCCGTACTTTAATGCCTTTTTTTCAGTTGCCATTGTTTCTAAAGCTGCTTCACCACATTGCCCTTAAATCATTTAGTTTATAGATTACAAACTTGCACACAAATTTCAGACTTGCAGTTATCAAAGACAGGGTAACCTTCTCTATTAATGCATGGATAATATTATGAAAGCCTTTATTTGTCTTTGTTTTTTTAATGTTTATTTGTGCTATTTTGTTTGCCTAATACTAAATATCAAGCATTTTCTGTGCATGCCTTTTAAGATGACATTTCTGTCATCTGTGTTAATTGTTGATTTGAGTCTGTGGTATGTGTTGACTCAGTGTCAATCACTAAAACTGAAACCACTCATCTCCCATTATCACCTGTGTTTATAGATTCGATGATAGATTGATTCGATGCCACTTGAGCACACCTGTGACCTCTATGTAACATTTATTTTCTAATGTTTCATCCCCACGTTATACAACTGCCATTTTAAATTTGTTGTAGCGACGTTTCACTATTTTAAGTTGCTTTAGAGCTCAGTTTCATCAGTTGTTAACTGACTGGTTTGCCAGCAAAATATCAGTTCTTACATTAGTTGTAGCCTTTCAAATGTTTGTTGGTGATACTCTAAAATGGAAGGGATTGGTATACTGAGTAACAATTGAATTTGCAAACTCGTATTTTCTAAGTGAAAACCTCATGAATCTGTTATGTCTTAACACTTTGTGTGGAAAGGTAATGAATTTGTTAAATTTTTGTGTGTCAAATTCCAAAATAACTAATTTGTTAGCACCAGAATACAAATTGTGATGTTTTTGTGTCACAATGTTTTGTTACCTGTCTGATGTGTTCACACTCTGGCTTTTTGTAAATGTTTTTATGTATTCTGAAGCACACTGTCCTCATTTCTGTATTGATAAATTTGGCATTTGCTCACTTCTGACTATTTGCTTTTGTGTGATCCGATGTCATCATCAATCCTCAGTAGCGTTATCGTATAAAGATTACAGAAATGTTTGGCTATTGCTATTTATAGCCACGTTAGCAACATGATTCTGATAGCTGTGCAGTACCTTTCTTGCATTTCACACAGCACATAGAAAAAAATTGAACATCCACAACTCCCGCCTCCCTCCAAAGTCCCATCCCCCTCCTCCTGCAACTCCACCTCCCTCCAAAGGCCTACTCCCCCCTCCTCCATTATGTCCTCATTACGTAGACATAGGTGTTGGCAAGGTAACTTTAGATACACGGAAGTGGAGGGCGAGTGTAACGTTACAACCAAGACAGTCAAACACAACCCCGGAGTTTTAAAACTCAACCGGAGTCACTGATGACTGATGAGTTTTAGGATAAGGTTACAGTGCTAACGTTAGATAGTAATGTTAATGTTACTAGTAAGTGCAAACACACAAGGAACACAAGGAAGATAACAATGTTTCAGAGGCTACACTACAGTAGGCTAACGTTCGGGATGTTTGGCGAGCGGTTACGTCTGTCGGAGGCCTCCACGTGGGGAAGACAGACGGGACGCTCGGCCAATCATTGCATTTGGTCCGAATGCAACAATTGGTCAGAGTTTTCTCAGAACCATATGAGAATGGTATAATTATGAGTTTTTATCTCTGGTGGAATTCACTTGCGTTTTAGTGTGCCATCAGCTTATTAATAGCATTTTAACCTAAACAAAGAAAAGCGTAAAATTTCCAGAAACGTAAGTGTCGCTTTAAGTGCTAAATACCGAATGTTAGCATGCTAACATGCTAAACTACATTAAATATTAACACACACTAGTTGTTTAAAGTGATCCATCTTTTCATTTATTCAAATACAGTGTTTTGCATCATTGCTACAGCGTAAAAAAGATCCAAGTCTAGTTAATATACAATAGTTGGAGGATTATAAATCCAGCACCTGTGCAATATCATTCAGTTCAGTGTAAAAACAACTCGTTTTACACACAAGCCTCCTCTTTCAGCCTCACAGTGGTTGTAGTGTTGCAGAGCTGCTGTTTTGGATTGACACACAGGATGAGGAGGTATCATCTCATAGTGCTCCCCGCCTGTGGAATACCTAATCATCATTGCATTTAAACATGATTGCACATTATTTTTTTCTTTGATTATAACAAAGTGTCTGTATATATGTTGGTCTCATTCTGTCTCTGTACTCTTATTCCTTCTTCACACTTACAGACGGGATGGTCACAGTGACCTTCGTAGCTAAATGGAAAGCGATCTTCTTCTCATAGTAGGCACACTCATTGACAAAGAAAGGGTAGAGTTCCTCTCCCTCGTGCTTCACCGTCTCCCCAGAAAATGACAGGAACGCAGGGTCGCCTGGTCGGAGGAGCTTGAAGTCATTATCCTGGAGAAAGACAGAGAACACTCACACATTAGTCATCATGCACCAGGGCAGCTTTTAAATGCAAATATGGCATTTACTGTTCCTGTCATAGCTTCCTAAAACAGGGCTTTATTGATTCATGAATGTAAATATAACTGCAAATAGGACTGACGTATGCAGCATTGTTGAGGACTAGTTCAATGTTTTGGGAAATAGGCTTGGTAACTTTCTTGCCAAGAGCTTCACCTGCAATAACCAACCCATTCGCCACAGAAAATGTTTGTATTGTACCACGGATAAGTTAAATTTGCACATTATTTGGTAGTGGATATTCTGAAACATAACATTTCTCAACAACAGTGTGGTGAAGGTGCAGTTAGGTTTAGGCACAAAAATCACTTGGTTATAGTTACGGAGAGATTATATTTTGGGACAATACACCCACATTTGGTGGCACAAAAGCTGCAGGAAAAGTCGGGATGGCTCAGTCCTAACCATTACTGGGAAACGCCACAATGTGCTGCTAAAACATTGCTACTGGTCACCAAAAAAGGACTGGTGTTGTTGGTTTTGGTCAGTGGTCTGCGCCTTGGCGGCCATTTCGCATACATCTGGAGACTCACCATCTAGGGGGCTGGAGCCTATCCCAGCTGACATTGGGCAAGAGGCAGGGTACACCCTGGACAGGTCACCAGACTGTCACAGGCCTGGCACATATGGTGCATTCGTTTTGTACTCAGAGGTCGGAAGTCGGAAGTGGGAATGACGTCACCTCCGAGTTGACAACAGTTTTTGCATTCTAGTTGACAACGGTGGACAAGTCGGAAAAAAACATGGACGCCCGCAAGAAAGCCTTTGATGCCCTTGCACTTTCGGAGTATAGACAGCTTCAAAACCATTATGCACTCCAACTGATGAACGCTGCAGATGAGGCTGACCTAATGTAAAACAAATAAGATAAAATTGCTATAAAAAGTACTTTAGCAGAGTGTTTACTCACTATGTATGTGACCGGCAGCCATCTTGAATTTGTAAGTCGGGTCGATGCGGTTGCTCCGAGTTGGAAATCCGATCTCAGGGTGCGTTCGAGTGTAAACTTCCGACTGGGACCTGGGAATTTCCGACCTCCGAGTACAAAATGAACACACCAATAGAGACAGACAACCATTCTCGCTCACATTGAATATAGAGTCACCAATTAACCCAGCCAGCATGTCTTTGGATTGTGGGAGGAAGCCGGAGCACCCGGAGAAAACCCACACTAACACGGGGAGAACATACAAAGTCAACACAGAAGGGCTTCACCATCCTGGTTTCGAACCCCTCACACTGGGCTCATACCAGGAATCCTCTTGCAGTGAGGTGACAATGCTAACCACTGCACCACTGTGCCGCCATATTTGTTTGTTAAAAAGTACAATACCAAAATTTTCTTCTGGTGACTGGGGTGCAATGACTGATTTTGTGGCCACCTGGGGGCAATGGAAACTGTTTTACCACTTAGATCACTGACATATTACCACCTTTTTAAGGCGATACAGAAAATGAACTTGTCGGCAAACAGCTGATTATGTACACATGTAGTCGATACAGAGAAACATTGGTGTTAATTTGGGGGGTTTAGCCACTAAATGCTCCACCATGTTCACCAGCTAACTGTGTCCTCAGGTAGTGTAAAGTGGATTTTTAGCGCTTTGTTGCAGGAGGTAGTTGCGTGCTGCATCCGAAAATGACAATATGACAGCTTAACAATGAGCTGAAGCTTACTTTAAAGCTCCAAAGTTGAGAGGAGCTGCACATTCTGGGGGTAACTCTCTGTAGACTCCTCACTCAGAGTAACCCTGTGCATGTCTCCAAGATCTCTTCTTGTCTGTTACCTGCAGATCGGGGTGAATGGCAGCAGTAATCTCATTGGTTGTAGGATCCCTTGGGTAGTCTACACTCTTCACGTAGCAGTATGCCTCCACGTCACCCCCTTCAAAAGTACTTCCTGTTGGCAAAGGACAGTAATAAGTAGTAATGAGCATTTTTTTAATTGCAAAAAAGACAATAACAATCAGTTGATTAAATATCTGAATTAAAGAAAAGAGAAAATGTTAAAGTGGGCCATCACAAGTTTTGAACATTAAGTCAGAAAACCTGTTTAAATAATCTGACCAGAGGTTGTTTCTTACCAGAATTGAATTTCTGGAGCCAGTCAATCATGAGATCCACTCCCTCTTTCACTATGTTAAAGATATCAGCTCTGAGCACGCCGTGAGGTTGAGGACCGACCTCTATCGCTGCAGAGAACAAGAGAAACATCAGCATCTTACCTTTTTATTAATCCAATTATTCAAATGCAGGCAGAAAAATTCACACACGTACAAAAGCCATGTTTGCCCACTGAATCCAGGGAATACGTTTCAGGATGTGATAAAGCCAACTGGATTGCTCTCACAGGCGCAGAGGTCATCTTACTCTGAAAACCAGACAGGTCAAATATTTACAGCCCTGCATGCTTCAGTTCAGTCTTTAGAGCTTTACCATACAATACAAATACAGATATATCCTGGAAGATGACCACAGCTTCAGCTTCATATTGACTTGACACCATGATTACTATAGGTTGCAAACTATATAGTATACTGTGCAATAATACTGGTGCAGGGCAGGAATTTTTAAAACCTAAACAAAGATTACTTGAACGGGGGCAAAAACAAAAACAGCTGGTCAGAAGTGAAATATCTGAACAGCTACTGGGTGGCCTGCCATGATATTTTGTACAGACATTTGTGGTCCACAAAGTACTTAGGCAGCTGTGGCTCAGGACGGAGAGCGGGTTATCCAGTATCTTGCCCAAGGATACTTGGACATGTGGACTGGAGGACTTATGTGTGATTGCGTGTGAATGTTTAACTAAGTAGCAGGTTGCACCTTGTGTCAAATCCTCGGCCACCAGTGTATGAAGGTGTGTGTAAACGTGACATGCAGTGTTAAAACGCTTTGAGAGGTTAAGAGGCAGAAAGGCTCTATGCACTTGCAAGTGGACTTACCATTTATTGCTCCTCTTGTGCCACCATTTCTATTTTCACAATACTTTAATTTATAAGTAAACACCTACAACGCTAACCTCAAATCTACTTTATTTGTGCTAATTAGAAAATGTTAGCTTGCTAATACAAGATGGCGAGTATGGTAAGCATTATACCTGCTTAACACCGGCATGTATTTTGTGTATTGTATGTCAATAAATGCAGTATTTGCAGTCAAATTAAAGTTCATTGGGTTCAACATTTGGGTGGCACAGTGGTGCAGTGGTTAGCATTGTCACCTCACAGCAAGAGGGTGTGGCGCAGCCCCTCTGTGCGGAGTTTGCATGTTCTCCCTGTGTCAGCGTGGGTTTTCTTTCCAGCTTCCTCCCACAGTCTAAAGCAGTGGTTCTCAACTGGTGGGTCGTGACCCAAAAGTGGGTCGCGGGGTCATTTTGTCTGGGTCACGGATTCACATATCTTTTGTGAAATATTGTAACTTTTTTCCTCAAACTTTATGACCTTTTTCTCAAAATCTTACAACTTTTTTCTAAAAATTTTATGACCTTTTCTCTTTAATGTTTTT